AGAGCTGTGACTGACTCGCCCTCGACGCTCCTGCTTAGTCAAGGATGTGCGATATTTGCAGAGTTCTGCTTTGAAAGTGACTACTGTGCAGAACGTTGTGGATGATGGATTTTAAAGTAGAGATCGTCTTTTGTTTAATGAAACTTTGAGGAGGATGGCTCTCACGGAAGGCCAGATCAGTGTTGGCATTTGAGGGCGGTTAACATTTGCTTTGACGAGCTTTGTTGATATCTCTTCTCAGCGGAAGCGATCGTGCCGTTTATGGTAGGTGACAAGAGAGGGTGCAGTGCTGCCTGGGGAACGTCCGTTCTGCGCGTACGCCGAAATGAGGTCGCCCCGCCATCCTTTCTCATCTCAGGATGGCAGCCCACTGCGATCCCGAAATAACGTCACAGTACCACAAAGTGTCACTGGAACGAATTATTTACACTAGTCCGTGTTATCTTGTCTTTAAGCTGACTGCAGTGAACCAAGCACAAATCGTATGCACCGCTGACAACTTCGACATCTGTCGAGAATCGCGGGCTAACCCGCCGCGGGCGATGGCTGTGGCAAAACCTAGTCTCTATGTACGCGCGGAACGAGGCGCACCCCTGCTGCCCATCAGTCACCAGATATCATTCAGTCATTTTGATTCATCAGTCATTGTGATTCTGGGAGCTGATCCTATTTCGTAATGATAAAGCAGAAGGCTTAGGTAGTCTTATCGATGACGTATCGTTCAGTCGACGACAACTTACATCAAACGACTGCGTCCAATACCGATCAGCCATAGTATTCATTTGTTGATGCCCTTTCCCTGTTTTTGAGTCCATATTCCTTCTTTAGCGCATTCGGCATGCAGCATTCTTTCACAGTTGAGAGTCACAACTTTCTCAAAACTTCCCGCACACCCTAGTATTTGATTTTCTCCCATTATTGAGTTGTGAGAATTTGGTAGTCGTGCATTTATAAAAATACAGTAAAGGTCTTCAATGGAAAGGAAGCCTTATAACCTTCTTTTTGATGGAGCTTATACTAGGGGCTCACTTTTTGACAAAAAGTTTTCGTTCACGAGAGGCTAAGGAGCATAATTATATACAGTGAAGCATCCACGATGAAATCAAGTAATACCAAAATGCACAGTCGGAATGTTCCAAGTGTAACATAATCTATTGCAATTTGATGTACACCATGCGGTGCGGAGTCATGTAAACGCCATAGATTTGTATGGATGAACAGCGTAAGTTGCTTTACTTTCGTCCCTTCTCCCTCCATAACTGGCAAATTACATGCTGTAGCGGTGATACGGTAAGCGACCTTTCTCCAGTCGCTCATTCGGATGCAGCGGTACTTTCGCAATACGCATTACTTGAGAAATCAAGGTGCATAGTGTGAGTTCTGAGCATACCTTCAGGCTCCTGAAAGGGACATCATAACAAACACATTAAGCATGTGTAGCATGAACAAAGAAACTAGTAATATCCTTGCTATATATATATAAAGCGCTCGCGTCTGTCTGTCTGTCACGAAATTCGATACTACCTGCAAGAACACCTGGAAAGGTCGGGTCAAGTTTGGAATGGATCGAGCATAGGGCAAGACCAGAGGAGTACACGTAAGCTCAGCGGAGATCCGCTAACAGGGGCAGGACATGCACAGGAGTGGGCGATATCTTGGGCAAATCTGTCTCATTCGGTCTTCTAACAGTCCAGACGCCTTAAAAAATGAGCAGAGGTGAGGGATGGGTCAACAAATGGAATGAATGAGACTCACCGGCGGTGGACGGAGCGTTCTCGCAGTGGACGGTACTTCCCACATAAGTTCATAACTCTGATTCAGTCAGGGCGTGAAGGCCAGGAAGAAGATAAAAGGGATGAGCAAGGCCTTACGCATGCTGCGCACACGTGAAGTTAGCGAGGTTCCACCCTTGATGGGCGGGACAGGCGTTGAAATGAAAGCTTCTTTTCAAAAATAAACATGACTCTGTTCAGGAAATTTTTTGGACGCGGGAAAAAGTGGTAAGATGTTTTTTGGACGCGGGAAAAGTGGTAAGAACAAATGCGGTCAAATCCCAGAAGTGGGCGGAGCTGACAATAAAATGGGCGGGGCCTAGATAAAAAATTTGTAACTATTCAGAAAAGTTCTAGGACTCGTGGAAAAACTGATCAGAGGTTATAGAACAAATGTGGTGAAGTCCCAGAAGTGGGCGATGTTGGCACTAAAAAGGGGCAGGGCCTAGATCAAAAATTTATAACTCGATTTAGAAATGTTCTAGAACGCGGGAAAAATGATCAGAGGTAATGGAACAAATGTGGTCAAATTCCTGAGGTGGGCGGGTTTTCACTGAAGTGGGCGGTGCTCAGATCGAAAGCCTATAACTCTGTTCAGAAACGATCTAGAACGCTGGAAAAAGTAGTTAGAAGTTGTGAAACAAATATGATCAAATCTCCGAGTGTGCGCGGGCTGGCACAGGGGGGGGGGCGAGACTAACCCTAAAAATTCACGACTCTGTTAAAAACTTTCTAGATTGCGTAGGAAATGGTTAGGAGCAAATAAAACGATGGTGGTCGACTTTTTATATTGGGAAGGGTCATGGTTAAACGTTCATGTCTAGAAAGAACTACCTTATTCTGATAATCCAACATTCCGCTGGATGATTCCATCGTAGATTAGCGGTCATGGACATATAACGCACGCGTTGGCGAGCATAGCCCAACTAGTATAGCATAATATAAGCTAAACATAGGGCTTCCAAACTGCGGACGCGGACAAATTGCTCCAAACGCAAACTGAGATTCATGAAGAATGCGACATAGTAGATGTCGTCTTCTGCACCTGATCCTATAGATGATTCTATTTAACGTAGCGCACTTCTTACAGCAGAAGACTGTTCATTGCAATTGTGTGCTATAATGCAGGGTGACCCACATGAAATGTGACATAAGAAACTAACATTAAAATTATACAAATCAAAGCAAAGGGGAGATATTTACTTCCATACATTCATCACAAAATTTGTAAACAACATATCACATCTTCAGAATGACCACCTTTCGCCTTAATGCGAGTATCCAGCCTCGGGAGTTTTCAAGAATGCGCGCAATCACTTCAGGCGAAACTTCATCCCACGTTTTCACAAGAGAGCTTTTTTCAGGGAGTCCAAAGACCTGCGTTTGGAAGCGCAAGCTTTTTGCTCCTGAATCGATCATACAGCAAAATCCAAAGGTTTGAGATCGTGGAGTGTGGTCTCACATCACTGCAGTGTCTTTTTTGCGCTGTGAGCTGGTGCCCAATCCTGCTTAAAGCTTCAGGGAACGTTCTTCGCGTTTTTCTCGACCCAAGAGGTCACCGCATCCTCCTGCCCAGAAGCCCATAATTTGAAATTTTTTATTGCTCGACACACTTCATGTGGGTCACCCTTCAACTACCAAATCATATCACAGTGCTGACGTATATGCTGTCACTACTCAGCGAAATGCAGTACGATAGGGCCCACCCCATTACCAGTGTCCCCTACCAGTGCGGTTGCTGTATACTGAAGCTAAGGTATTTTCATCTGATCAATCGCCCACGAACAAAATAAATGGCGATCAACTGGTCTGGGTTCTTGTGGCGGAATGTCTATACTTAAGAAGTACTTTCACCAACGTCACATCAATCTTCCTTTCAAGCATCCCTCTTGTTGTTGCTAGTTCAACTTGTTCTGGATTTTCTATACCACTACCTTTAAAATCATGAGAAGTATTACTGTCAGTCATACAGGCAATCAAACTTACAAACCGAAGAACAAAATGACACCCGAAGTCGCAGCTTTAAATATATACAGGTGTTTCACAATAGACGCAGGAAGTGCGTCATGTCAAAGCGGTCTGAGATCACCTGAGCTGATAAGGCTGTCGAATTCGCTCTTACACGTACGATTCTGGGAAATGTAATTTCAGTTTTGATTCACTCGGAGAGCTGTATGGACGGTAGAAGTTCGTTCATCGTAGTCTGTTCGGCTGATATCTTAGCGCTTAAGTGGGTATTGTCACTACCCGTTCTTTTATTAGTTCCAAGTTCTCACTTCATTATATGACATGTATCCCTTAACAATTTATGTAGTTGCCCTACTGCAGGCGCATACTTAGTAATAAGTTAAACATAAACGTCAAACTGTTCAAAACGCCCAATGATAGGCAGATGTAAGTACTAGTGCCATCGCAAACATCGCACGGAGTTAAACTTTCGAATCTTCTTCCAAGTGCTGTTGTAATACTTTAGCTTGCAGTGAATTCTTCGCATAATTATCTTCATCACAATCGTCGGACGTTCAGGTAAAGACATAACGACAGATCAACCAACACACCAACCCACTAAGTTACTGCTTTACACATAAGAAGATTACAGGAGTTCCTTGTTATGAAGGAAGTCTATTGCATCGGGTCTTTTTCTATGAAAAGAATGGTGAACATCAAGTGATTACTGCTGTCTAACTGCAATAGACACCTAACATTTCCTGTCTTTTGCAACACTCATCTCAACTTCTGCTAATGTCGTATCTGGCCTGCGAAAAGAGGACATTATGTTCAGTTCCTAGCTATACAACGCAGAGGAACACTGCGGTCTGTTATATTCCGCCATTACAATTCCTTATCCTCCTTTGCAAGAACTGTTATGCAATGGCCTCCGATATTACCGCTCCTCATCAATTTCCTCCATTCCCAAATATTATTGGATCGAAATCTCATGAAGTCTTGGAAGTATTGCATTTTGAATGGGCTAGTAGCTAGGAAATCAGGGTTGCACGGTTGAAGTCAGAAATTCGTATCTTTCGACCCGTTCTCAATTTGTTTTTTCGTTGCTCATTCTGAGAAGATATCTTGTTGGAACTGTCCCACCTAGGTCCACCTTGACTCTCTGCAGATACCTGCTCGTTAACTCAAACACCACGCAAGCTTCCGTCGTGATGGATAGAACTGGCGATTTGATCAAAATCAACCAAAATTCTCGACATTTCCGAACCATTCTTCTTTTAGAGTCAACGCTGTCACAATAAGTCTGCATCAGATGTTCGTTTCCTTCCTCAGAGTTCGTCTGTCTTGATAACAGCAGGAACGTCATCTGGAGAATTCAACCTGGCTCTATGGGATACTCTACTGCCTCCGACTCGTGCCCTTGTCCATACATGGGTTGCACACGCAGAAGGAGCTACGGCGGCAATGTATTTGCCTAGCCAGCAGGTACTTCTATCAATATAAATATTGTTTACCTCTGAAAACTCTAAGTAGGTACATTTTCACGACAGGAAAGAGGCTTTGGTTTTAATTGAGGTCTCTACTAAGTTAAATTGAGATCTGAGCTACACTCATTCCTCTATGCGGTACCTCACTCAACTGATTCAGTGCTAACTTCATTACCAAACGCAACTCAGCTAATAACGGTTATATGGAAAGAAACTTTGTAATTGATGGTATCACATTTGCATATTTGTGTATTATATTTTTGAGTGTCATTTCAGGCAGCGAGCTGGGTCAGTGAGTATTTTGGACAGTGCAATAATTTGTTTTGTTGATCCATCGTTACTTGGATATTCATAGCTTAAATCGTTGCACATTTTATATTATCACGAAATTTACCTTTTTCTTCACACTTCTAAATGTACCGAGGTTTCCAATTCATGGAATATGGAAGAGAAGTTACATTTCCTCACCACGGCAACTTAAAGCTTTTTTTTATGCGTAACGCGAACGTGTTAGCGCTCAATCATGCTTTTTTAGCTCTGCAAATGACCCGATATTTCTTTCGAGCTTTTTCAAGTTCATCATTTGATCGGTCACAATATGACAGATTTTCTGCAACGTTTGATTTGAATTAACTTCTGCGTTCTTTTCGACGTTCTGCAGCGCATGTACCAACGTCTTGTAAAAACTATATTTGGTTGAAGGAAGATAAGTCTTGCAATTTTTGACAAGTATTTGAATTTTATATTTCTTTTTTAAGCCAAACACTCAATCACATTGTGACCATTATTATCCAGAGCACATGCTCTCTTTCGGGCAGCTCTTCGATTTCTGTCTTCCAGAATTCAAATTCTGGAAGAGAGAAATTGAGGAGGTGGTCGATTTCACTTTCGAGTTCACGGCGATCGTCAAATTTTTTTCCGCAGAGATGGTGCTCCAGTGCTCTGAATAGGTAATAATCCAAAGGCGCTAGGTCCGATGAGTAAGCCGGTTGCGGCAGTACTTCCCATCCGAGTTCCATAATTTTTTGACGTGTTTCGTTGGCCGTATGATTGTGTGCGTTATCGTGAAGTAGAAAGACATTGAGTCTTTTCGAACGTAGCTTTCACACTACGTCGGCCACTTTTTGTATCTGGTTAGCGTAAACTGTAGTCGTCACTGTATTGCCACTGACTAGCCGGTCCCAGTAGATCATTCCACCGCAGTCCCACCAGCAACACAATAAATCCTTCTCGAGGATGTCACCTTTAGGCCTATCAGCTCGGTGGCGCTCACGTGTATGATTCATGTGAAGCACCCAACTCTCATCTCCGGTCACTGTGTCTCGCAATAGGTCCTTCGAAGCAGAAGAGACTCAGCTACGTGCATCTTGTTCGTCTTGTCAGACAGGCGTAGTTCATAAGGAACCTCTCCATGGAGCCCTTTAATGCCATTTTCGGAATCGTCCAGGATTGCTCTACAGAAATCAGTCGCGAAAACATTTGAAAAGGCTGTGCTTTCTCCTAGAGGAGCATGTTCAGTGTTGCAGAACTTATCTTCCAACCTAATATATATATAATATATATATCCTTTCTATACATAAAGCACTCGCGTCTGTCTTTCTGTCACGAAATTCGATACTACCTCAATGAACACCTGGAGTGGTCGGGTCAGTTTGGAATGGGTTGAGCAAAGGGCAAGACCAGTAGAGCACACAAGAACTCAGCGGATATACGCCCATAGGGGGTGGGACATGCACAGGAGTGGGCAGTGACTTGGGCAAATCTTTCTCATTCAGTTTTCCAGACACCTTAAAAAATAAGCAAGGGTGAGGGATGGATCAACAAATGAAAAGAGGGAGCCTCACCGTCGGTGGGCGGAGCGTTCTCGCATTGGGCGGTACTTCCCACACAAGTTCATAACTCTATTCACTGAGGACGTGAAGTCCAGAAAAAAAGATAAAAGGAATGAGCAAGGTCTTATGCGTACTGGGCATGCGTGAATTTCGCGAGACTTCCCCACCATTGGAGGGGCATGCGTTGAGATGGAAGCTAGTTTTCAAAAACTATTGTAAAGTTCAAAAGAGTTCTTGGGCGCGGGAAAAAAGTGGCAAGATGTAATAGAACAAATGTGGTCGAATCCCAGAAGTGGGCTTGGTTTTCACTGAAATGGGCGGGGCCTCCATCAAAAGTTTATGACTCAGTTCAGAAACGATCTAGAACGCGGGAAAAAGTAGTTAGACGTTATGAAACAAACGTGGTCAAATTCTCAAATGTGTGGGGTCGGCACAGGCGGACGAGGCTAAGACTAAAAATTCACAATTCTGTTAAAAAACTTTCTAGATTGCGTAGGAAATGGTTAGGAGCAAATAAAATGATGGTGGTCGACTTTTATAGTGGGAAGGGTCTGCATTGAGGTGGACGGGGCCATGATCAACCACTAATAATACTACTCAAATTAAGTATATCGAGCGTGATGCTCTCGAAGCGGTTCAGCGTTGAAATCTGGAAAGAACACTCCCATTCTTATTATACATTCCGCTGAATGGCTCCATCGCAGATGAGTGGTCATGAACATACAATGCACGCGTTAACGTGTATAGCCCGACTGGTTATATTATATATTATATTCCTTATATTATCTCTCTCATTTATAAAGCAGAAACTTGGTGTGTCGGTTTGTCGGTTTGTGTGTTTGTCGGTATGTCGGTATGTCGGTGTGTCCGTCTGCAAAAGTTTATGATTACGATAAGAGAGTAATATGGAAAACCCAGCTCTATCCTACATTCCTCTACATTTCTTCACTTAAGGGGGGGGGGGCATTTCTAACTGATTAAAAAATGTGAGGAATGAGGGCCCGGCGTAAACCGGGCGGCCCAACTGGTGTATGTATATTGCAGAAAGACGTCCTTACAAATCCCTCAATTTAGACGGTGCAGGCCCTGGAAATGTATCTTAATATTCTTTGAGACGTCTCACTCCAGCATAAAACCGGCATCAGAGAAGCCTTTCCAATTATAGAGCTGATACAGTATACTGGTAATTTCGTGCTCTCTTTTCAACCTTTACGAGGCTGAGCACATGATTGTTTTGACTGAAAGTTAGCGTGTAGATTAGTATGATGCCCCCCGCTTTGGGCGATAATGAGATCTTCATTTTCATTCTCCAGCCTCCGAGTGACTTCTCTGCGTTTGCAAAAATAAGCTAATTGGAAGGAAAGGTTGCTCCACGAAAAACAAAATGTCATGAGCGTGATGTATAATTACATAGTGTGATGCGCCCGATTTGGAAGTGTTTATAAGGTGGCTGTTCGGGTTGTATGAAACACTTTCTGTTGGACATTGATTATTCAACCTTCATCGTCAAGTGTGTTAGATGCCCTTCAAATAGTAACGCTCCAGCCATATGGGAAAATTTGCGGTCGTGACTGGAAGTACCTGACCAAACCGTCGCCGTCGGCTAACAATGCGAAATTAATATACCGATCTCCTTCCATGGACAGTCATGACATCAGATTTGAAAGAAGAGATAGGGCTGTACCTCAACATTACACAGACAATCCTTTGAACTTCGAGCGCACCACATTAGTCCCATCTTTCTTTAGAAAGAAACCAGCGAGTCTGCAGTGATGTTACATTACCGTTCCCAATGGTGCTCGCGCAAGTCGAGGGGCTCATCCACTGATAAGTAATGAAATGATTGTGTTCGCTTAGATCCAAAGTCACTGGATTCATTAGGGGGTCTACTGTGCTAAGACTACACTCTTTCCGTTTTAGAACGGAGTATCAAGTGCCACATCACAAAGTAAGCCATCATTGCCAGAGCACTTTAGTTTGTAATAATCTTTTGTCTCTGAATTTCCACAATTTGACCCATTGGCGACCGCGTGGCCTGCCGGCAGGTCACACCATGCTGCTCCTGTGGTACTTATATTACTTATTGTGGTCCAGGAATGATTCATTCCCAACTACAGTTATAAGAGAAATTAAAAGTTAATGTAGGGGCAATATAAAATGAGCGGTCGCCAATGGGTTTATTGGAGTCGTCTCAGTTAACTAGCACAGATCTCCGCAAGAACGTTTCGAAGGCGGTTTTACGAGCCATTTTGACAAGCCGTTAAGTTTGCAACGGCCTGGTGTCACTGACGAGATTACTTGGCTTTTTTTTATACCACACACACAAGCTTACATACACACATACACACACACTTCAACACATATACACAGTCTCGACACACTTCGACACACTTCTACACACTTTGACACACTTTGACACGCTTCGACACCCTTCGTGCGCGCCCAGCCGGCCATGTGCGCAGTACTGCTAAGTTCACCGTGTTTTGATAATGCGGGATGCGGATAACTTGATCACACACGCTCCGCTCCCTGCATCCCCCACACCCCCTGCGGGCGAGATCCAGGTCCCTTTCTACAACCTACATCAGTGCCTTGATCCTGTTGCCTGTACTCGTACTATATTTGAACGCTCTGGATCCAAGTTGACAATTTTCACGCACGTTCCACTACCTCTTGGCGAAGTATAGTCGTGACACCTACCGTCAGTAAGTTTTCTTCCGGCTGCCTATCCCGGAAACCACTCATTGAGTTTCGACCCAAACACTAATTTGGCGCACGCATTGCCCCGTTGGCGGAGTCGAGTCCCGCCGCCTTCCAGTATTCCCATTCACCCGCCTGTACCCCGGAATTCAAATGAGTCAGTGCATGAGAGCATATTATAAACTTCGGTCAAAAACACACCGACGCATACGCGACGACAAACCTAGACACATCAAGTGCCTTCTATATAGTACGATAATGTAGTCGTTTACTTCCCCTTTGGTGTTGCGAATGCTATGTGCCTGAGGATCAAGGCGCTATCATAGTTCCCGACGACTTTCCAGTAACTACGTTAGAAGTGCAAATCTGGCTGTGTTGTTGTGTAAGTTGTTTTCATTTATGAAACTCTACAGTCTTGCACAAAATACCATACAAACCTGCCTTCCACAATCAAGTGGTATGTGAAGTGAAAATAATTACAGCTACTCCAGAAGGCCCACGAATGGAGGCGCTTATAAGTATCTTTCCTATGTAGACCTGGCGGAACTTTCAAAAATTTGGACTACTTATCAGGGACCAGTTGGGCTATGCACGTTAATGTGTGCATTGTATACCCGTGATCGCTCATCTAATTATCTGTAATTTATCAGAATGAGATAGTTGTCTCTAGATTCGGACGCCGGGATTGTTTAAGGGCATCCGCTCCTTATAATTTATTTGAGCAGAATTATTAGTGGTTGATCATAGCCGCGTCCACCTCAATACAGACCTCTGCTAGTATGAAGGATTGGCTACCTCTTTTTCAGCTGCCCTCAATCCATTTTCTCCTCGGTCTGAAATGTTTTTAAACAGAGTTATGAATTTTTGATCTTAGCGCCATCCACACTGGCGCAAACCCCGCCCATTCAAGTGATTTGTTCACACCCCTTCCGAAATCTTTAAACCCCTTTTTCTCGCGTGCTAGAACGTTTTTGAATAGAGTTGTAAATGTATCCAAAAAAGATCTAACATTCGCCCGCTATTACGCCCCGCCCAGTGTTTGCGGGGCTTAGACATGTTGACATGTGGTTGATACGCCTAAGGCCTTAATCACTTCTTCTATTTTTCCTGTCCTCCACGCTTCCATTGAATCGTGTTATGATCTCTTGTGTTTAGCACCGCCTAGTGCAAGTCTCCTCCAGTTTACTTGTTGACCCATTCCTCACCTTCACCCATTTTTTCCCGGCGTCTGGGCTGGTATGAAACCTAATTTAGACATTTTGCCCAGAACACCGCTCGCTCTCGTGCAACTGTAAGCGTAGCTCTGCTGAGCTCACATGTGCTCTGCTGATCTTGTCCTATACCCAACCCATCCCAAACTTGACCCGACTTGTGCACGTGCTTCTCGGGCAATATCGGATTTCCGTACAAACAAAAACAAGCAAACAAACAAATAGACAGGCAGACAGAGTGACCCGAGCGCTTTGTATATAATAAGGATTACAAGCACGAAATTCAAGCGAGGATCATGCCAAAGCGGGAAGGTACGTAGTGTCGTTAAGGTGCCGAAATGTATCTGTCTGCGGAGCCGATGTTCAGTGCCTTCTTCACCAATCCTCGATGTTCTTCGATGGTGCCCAAGGCGCGCATTACCTTATGCCCTACTCTGGAGCTACATCGTTCATCACGCTGACTTGGATACATGTGCCTGGAGCTGTCAAACATGGCGTTTCCAGTGTAAAAGAAATATCAGAAACCAATCCTTCCCATGGACATAGTCTTCATTGATTGCAGTCACTGCCGATATTTTCACGTGCTTTGAGTGATGCGAACTAATTTTTCCCGCTTGCTCGATGTTTGATTTTGTAAGCGCGAGGTCGCGCTTATATTAGGGTGTCCGTAAAGTTTTTAGAAAATTTTGCCTTGCAACTTTGAAAGCATGTTGGTCGCGAACGCGCTAAAGCAGGACTGTAGATTTGATAGCACGGAAAATGGCATTGTCGATAGATCAGTCTATTGCTTATCGACATTTGACGGGGTCTTTCGAAGTAGGTAATCATAGACCGAAGGATGTGCCATCGATACGTTTACCGAAGTCTCTTCTCCATTACGAAACTGATCGCTTCGATACTCAGGATCGGAATGGGATGTGGTGACTGGCAGTAGTAACACTCCCTTGTCACCTACCATAGTTAGCACGATCCCTTTCTCTTGGAAGAGATTCACTCCGATGAATTTTGTCGAAGCGAACGTCCACTGTCCTCAAGACGGACACTCTTCTAGCCTCCAGTCAGAGCAATCCTTCAAAATGGCAGGGTTTGGAAAAGGATTTCTCTACTCCTCAATTCATCGTCCACGACGTTCTAAGCGACAGTCACTTTCAAAGCAGGACTCTACAAAAATGCAAATATCGCACATCCTCGACTGAGCAGGAGTGTTGAGTGAGAGTCAGTGTTTGTCAGAAGCTCCTCGACTGTAAGCGACCGACGACATCAGACGACTTACGAAGATGTCATATGAAAATTCACACAGGAGCTCGCAATGCCTACCAGCTCACGTAAGGCCACAGCTTCTACAAAATTAGGCGTTCACGCCAAATAGGACACGAGCTTGCTGTTCCTCTGCTCAGCCGGCTGTTTTACTTTGAGATAATACCAGAACTGCACTGCGGTAAATGCTAGAGTATTCTAATATCGACTGAGAAAGATAGTGTTTCAAGCACTCATTTCACACCGATTACAAAGAAACTTTCGATGGTGCTGGATAATGCTAGACCGCGTCCCGCGACGACATCGATGGATGAGCTGGAAAGACTTGGTATAACCTGTCTAACCCGATCCCCACATATTCATCTGACCTTAACCCATACGACTGCCGTACTTTTAGAAGCCCATAGGCCTGCTTCACCATATGTCGAGAATCAAGTAGTCCGGTTCATATTGTGCCAGAATGATATTTTTATTCGCTTCTGCTATTTTACGAGCTAGTAGCACTCTCCAGTTACATAAAATATTAAAGTCGATGTGGGTGGTAGATGAATGAGTTGCGTCACGCCTCTCTTCATATTGGAGGAATGACATCAATGCCCAGTCGGGTTGATGGAGAGACATAGTCGTTAAGAAGGTCCTCCATTTTGACAACTGATCTAGGTTTACTGCTGTAGTTATTTTGTACTGAAAAAAGCCAATTGTATTTCATCAAAATTTTTCGGACACCCTAATACAAAACGTGTGACTACTGCTCCTTCGTACCTCAATTCAAAGCGAAAGTGGGAGGCCACCTATCTATCAATGCTTTCATAGTATCATGGAAAATGTCTATGTAAGTGGTCTTCATGGGCAAGAGAAGCAAAAAACGAAAAATCGTGTAGGCATGAGTTTGCCGAAGGAATTAGCTCGCTCCATTAGAGCGAAGGCGTATTCAATCGTTTCATTCATGGATTTAATAAGTACTATGTTGTTCACCTTCGAGTGATGAAACATTGCATTGTTCGGGATTTATTCGACAAACCGTGCTTTTTTCTATTTCGTTCGTATGTAACGACTTACAGGCAATTGTTTCCGGCGGGCGACATGGAGAACTGTGCTTATGGGATGTACGACAACGGCAGCTGCGCCTCACTGTGAAAGCGTTTGATTGGCATCAGACTGTGAAATCATTGGTCACCGATTGTAATCAGAGTCTTATTGTGGCGGGATCCAGCGACGGTGATATCAAGGTCCTCCTCTTTTGCGAATTTATCTTAATATTCATGAGTACTAGCTTCACCAAATTGAAGTTTGAATTCGAAAATTTGTGAGTCATCTGCCAACGTCCCATTTTGATCAAAATGTTGCTATTACACTTCTGACAACATGACATTAATTTGAGTGTACCCTCATAGAAGAAGTCCAACAACTTTAGTTGCCTAAAGTTGTGGAAAAAAGACCTAAAAAAGTTGTGCTGCGTATTCCTGAAAGCTGCAATCTCTTGAAGCTATCCTGGCGTTTTAAATAATGAATATCATTCTCTAGTAACTTAAGCAATTATGACTAGTGGGAGACGACATCCATATGCACCTGTGTATGCTGTGACCAGTGACTGTGCGTGCTCGAGTGCAGGTGTAAGTGCGAAAATTGCCGTGTAAAAATATCGGTTTATTGTTAATTCAGCAAATGCTTCAACTTCATGTATGTTTCATATCCTGAAGCCGCTCTTATTATTAGGGTGTCCATAAAGTTCGTTGGCCATTTGTAAACAGCGTTGCGATACGCAATGCGTTGTGATTTCGCAATTCTGAAAGTACTCGCAATGGGCTATCTTCTGAGCTAGCTACTTCTAAATTTCCTTTCCTGATCTTCCAACAATAAAGGAGGGAAAATGAGTTATAGTCACCACCACGCCGATGTTTGCTGGACTACTACAGCCTGGGCATCTCCAGACGTCAGGCCACGACCAGGATGCGCCAGCAGTTTAGTGATAACACCCCTTCTAAGAGCTGGATGTCGAAATGGTGGACTCGCTTCACGAATGAAAACTATGGCATCGAAGATACGTCGAGGTCCGGTCGCCCTGCCACCGTCCATCGACAAGGCATTCTGGATGCCCTGGACGGTGAACCGACGTCGTCTTTGCGCGACTTAAGCAAGGTCACACAGGCGCCCCGTTCCATCATCCACAAAGTCCTTATTGAATCTGGCAAGGCGTCGAAGAAGCGTCGAGTTGTCCCTCACGACTTCACGCGGGCACGGGCAAGGTAGCGGGTTAAGGTGTGCTCCGACAAGCTCAGGCTCAGAGGCCTGAGGAAGATTCTGGACTCTCATTTGCGAAGATGAGAAGTGGGTATACTACTCTAATCCTGCTGACAAACTAGCCTGGTTGGATCTCGATGCGCCCCCGCCAAGCCGTGCAAAGAGAAATATGCATGGAAAGAAGCGCCTTTGCCATTTTGGTTCTCTTGACGCTCTCCTTCTCTGATACGGCTTGTCCACTACAGCATTTCTCAGTGACGGCAGAGACGCTCTCTAAAGAATTGCAGGGGGTCAAGGTGAAAGCTGCCGCCTTCCCCCAGAAACTTGCAAATCCGTGGTTGCTCTGGGACAACGCGCGCCCCCCATAGCGAGAAATACTCAGGCCGTCCTGGACAGGCTGGGCATCAAGACGGTCTCGCATCCACCGTATAGCCCGGACATCAGTCCATACGATTACCACATGTTCCGGTCCATGCAAATTTCTTGGACAGGAAACAGCTGAAGAAGGAGTGCGACCACGAGGACGTGATCGAGGACTGGGCCGAGTCGCAGCCGGCCGGCTTTTGGGAGGATGGAGTTGCCTCTCTACCCGATCGTTCGGAAAGGTGGTGGTTAGATTATACATGGACCAGTAAGTTCAACTTGGTGAGTTATCTTTACAAGCTCTGAAAAAACGAACGGCCAACGAACTTTTTGGACACCCTAACGGGACGTAATGTGGTTCAGGACGAAAAAGAGCGAAGAAATATCGGACCAATCCTTGATTGGACACCGTGATCCTTGTCATCATGACACTTGATGTAAAGGAAATTTTCCAGGAGCCTCATTCACAACCTCTCACTAAATAGGACCATTTTTGCTCTCCCACTTTATAAGTTTCATGTCGCACAGTAAAGCTCGATTTATGACTTTCATGGACACTTCTGAAGAGTTAAGTGCAATTTGTAGGCACTATAATAGCTAAACTGTTATAACTCATGATTGCATTGCTACCTGGTAGCTCTAAGGTGCTTGGGAGTTAGCAATATTTGAATGAAGGACGCCAACCTTTAAACAAATTCTGCCACATACCGACGTCAACTGCCTTTAATTGCTTGCATTGTGCTCTCCAAATCGAAGCACACCTCATCGATTCGAGTTTCTGTATACTCACTGTTATTGTTATTTGTAACAGTTTCCAGACTTCCGAAACCATACAAACTCGACCTTATGTTGTGTTCACGATAATGCTTGCTTTTGTTGCTGCTTGATCCAACTCCAGCAAGCGAACTAACAGAGGAAGGATTCCAAGTCGTAGGGGCTGCTTGAAATGAGTACATTTATGCTAGACGTACTCCCAGACGCTGATTTCGAATCTGCGCTCCGAATATATCGAACGATTGTTTGAACAGAGCTATGAAGGTGATTCAATGTGAGAACATACAGCCTATCATAAACGAGCACAATAGGCATGAATCGTAACCGTGATCACTGGGACGGCTTCGAGCTGTGTAGGGCGGGGCGCTTCACATGCTGAAGACCATGGATGAGATTCTGAGAGCGAAGCGATTTTTGCACTTTGTAGGGCTTTTCCCTCGGGAAGGAGAAGATTTGTTATCGATTTTACCGTCTTCAAAACCTATTCTTTACGAGAGGTGACTCGTTTTCTACCTCAAACATGCAACATCTCTACAATCTCTTTGCTTGTCCATACATGCCCCTTTCACGGGAAGATTTTTGAAGGAAATCGACGGCGATTTCTGGCCGCATTGGGCTCGAAAAGAATGGAAAGGGAGGTGTAGTCTGCCTCTGCTACTACTCTATCTCTGTTTGCAGTGCCTTCTCGCTGGTGATCCTATCGGACGGAAACTTTTCGCAGGAACAGAACTTGTTCTGTAGGAAAAATATTCTACCTTAACCTACTTTTCTAAACCTAATTCTGAAGGATTCCATTGGTAATTTCCTGAGAAGGGGATTTTCATACGCAAAACCAGAAGGTCAGGGTTAGTGAAACGCCTATAATGAGCAAGCATTTGATGTTGGAGTAGGTGCAATTGTGCGTATTGGCTCTAAACTCACCAACATCAATGTCGCCGGCGATGGATTATTGAAAAAATCTTCAAATAATCATGAATTTCTTATGTCTCTTCTATCTTTACAAAACCAACTTGAAGTGATGAATGTCCCATCTAGTACCACTAGAATAATAGCCATCCGAGATCTACTTCTTATAGCCATTTGACAATGTTTTCAAAAGTATCACCTTATACGTAGTAGCTCATGATTCTACTTCTATAAGTACATTTGTGCACCTGATTCCTGGAAACTTCTCTCTTGCTTGTGACTCAAGAGTACTCATTCAGGCAGTTCTGATACGCCTTCACAGCTCTGTTTTCCTTCCGATTTTGTAAGTGATTGTGGAGCAACGGCATGTGGTGAATTTTTTATTTGTTGCTCCCATTAAGGAAACTGTGAAAACTTCTTTGTTTCAAACATTTTGAACTAGATTATCATATCTGCTAATTGAGGAGAAAGTTGTATTTTTTGAATCTTTCTGCATGAGTGTTGCGTGTAAGACAGGGAGTGTAAGGGAGTTAAGGGCATCCTGGATGATTTATGAAGTGACCGAATCACCTCAAGTATCGCAAAGGTCTGAATGCGGTGAAATCAATAGACGAAAGTTTTCCAGTCCTCGAAAAAGCAACCTCGCAAAATGCGAGAACCCTATTTCCTACAAAACCCGAGCATGGTCGTGAATATGGAGCCTCACGCATGCCATTGCTGTGAGTGCAATTAGTCCTCCTGTCTTTTACGCTCATTTAGTTTAGGCGCTCACCTGAAACCGTTAGGTAAAATTTTGATTTTTTTAGAATTTTTTTTAGAATTTTTTTTCAGAATTTTTTTTTTAATTTGAACGCTGATTCGAGATCGGCATCTGAAAATACGTCGAGCACTTCGTATTGGGAACCTTCCCTTGTGAGATTATTCGAATTCGCACTACAAAAAGCTCCCAGTAATTCAGAACGTTAGGTTTGGCGAGTTTCTGTAGGAGGGCAATATTTGCTACCCATGGACTCAGTGTCTTGTAAACGCGAAGCAACAAGAGCTATTCGTGCAGAATATTACAGGATTGCTGAAAAATTCTCCATAGTAAATCTGATTAGTGAATCGCGACGTAGACATTCTAATTTCTGTTTCCGGCCCCTTAGTGAGTTTCCTACAATACACTCGAATAGAACTGTGGCTCGTGCTACTCCTGTTAAAGTACGCATGGAAGAGCTAGAATAGACGCACTTCAAATTCCTTTATTCTTCCAATATACCCTTGCATAGATTGAAATCGTGGGTCTATCGAAAAAACCCTCAATGTGTATCAGAGAGGACAAATCGGAATTGCAACATCCGAAGAGCTTTTGATGCGCAGCGGGGTGAAAGTAGTGTAAGCGTGTAATAACGTCTCAGAGACTGCTCGATCAACGCAACGTATCAAAAAATCGGAGTACAAGTTCTTCGCTTTCGTAAACTGCAACAATGGCAAATCTCTTTTCACGTAATACATATATAAGTTATTTATTTAATCAAAGCAGTGATGAAAGAAAAATGGCGTTGCCATTCAGAAAGGAAGTTGTGGAAGTACCGCTAGGAACTCTGACTTTTTCGGCATTATTCGACATTGGAACAGAAACGATACGAAATACGGAAAAAACCTACTCACAGAGTATGTACAGTAGCGCACAAAAGTACTCGGCCAAGCAGTTTTTTGACCGTAGCTTTTTTCTCAGTGAGGCAAATCGCATGAAATTTTGATATGTTAAACTGAACCATATTTGACACTACCCAACTGTATTTGACTGCAAAGCAGCAATGTCCACATATCAAAAGGGGAGGCGTTTGTAGACTACGCTGAAGCAACTTTGTGACATCTGCACTTACTCGCACACTATGTGCGTGTCTCTCTTCTACTGTGTTCGACATTAGCGCTCGTACACTTTGGTCATAGCAAAAAGGAAAGAAATCGTAGAAGCACCAATGTCTGCACTTCCAGTTGGTTTTGATTTCAAGCTCTTTGAGATATTTGGAACATGATCAGA